AGAAATGATCAGTCTTGATGGGACCTTAAGGGCCGATTTTTTTTGCCAGAAGCCTTTTTTCGCTAGGTTCTCTTATTTTTGTATAAATTCCCTTTATTCTCTTGCCAAAAAAATTCCCGCAAAACTGACTCGATCTTTTCAGTGAAAAAGAATTTTAAATTTTTCTCTTTTTTTTGTTTATTTCAGTAATTTTTCTTTTCATTTCTAGTCCTTTTTCCCGAACCTTTTTTTTTTTGGGGGGGGGGGGGGGGGGGGGGGGTTTTTTTTTTTAAATCTAACCTATTCCATGTATACCCCACATCTTGGGCTCATTCGATGGGGGAAAACAGCAGATGATGACAGAAAGTTTAAAAGATAGATAGAGGAGGAGAGGAGAGAGAGAGGAGAGAGAGAGAAGGGGAGGAGAGAGAGAGGGGGGGGAATTTACGTTACAGGGGTGTGTTCCCGTCCTATCCAAAGGGGACTTTACGCCGTATTTAAAAAATGGCCCTAACAAAAAACCCCCTAGCCCATAACCCCACCATGGGCCCACGAGAGGTGTGGCGGGAGACCCGTGATTCCCCTTTTAAATACGTTTTTTGGCCTTTCTAGCGAAAACCCCAAGGGGTCTGCGGCCCCTTTCTCACAAACCTGATTAAAACCAATGCAAAAAACCCTTTTCCGAAGACAACAGTACACCGTGACATCCTCAAGCTAGTGTGTAGCTTATATGGTTACTGAACTTATAAAGTGACAAAAAGAGATATAAAGGTGTCATTCAGCCATGAATGTTTACATATTTCAACGTTCTCTGCTGGCTGAGTATGATAACCTATCCTTTAGCTAAACTGTGAAACACGATAACTAGTTGACGGTATTCCCAGATGACTAACATGACCGAGTTAAACAGGAGAATTATTAATAATAGCTTGACTACCTGGTTTTCTACCTGGCCAAACCACCCCACAGACTACCCTAGGTAAGTCTCGCAGCGCACAAGTCACGTGTGCCCATTTGGGTGGAACACACCTTAAAGATGCCAAATATTCTCAGAGAAGAAGGTGTGTGTTGTCCCATGGGAACATGTGTTCCTGCCAGTAAACGACAACCTTGATATCTATCTGGTTCGTGATTTGTGCTATTGTGATAGCGGACAATGTTTAGGTGGAGCAAGAAGAAGAAGGCTGTAGCTGGCTCGGAGGCTGATTCTATACCTAATCAGGTAAGAGATGAAGAAGTATTAAAATGTAATCAGTATTCGCAGTCACGTGATATAGTCATTTGCATAACTGTGTAGGGTTTAAAACGTTGCCAAGTGAAATTTACTTATATATAGGTACTCTCAATTGTTTTCTCGTTTGCCGTTTGCGTTCCCATATATATATACTTTTTTTTCAAATTACTTTTTATACCAGTTTTTTTATTCCCTACGCAATTTTACAGATAACTGGAAAGAATATTAATTTTTTTTATAAAAACACACTAACTAATCTGGCTGTGATTGGGTGTGCACCCTGTAACCTGTCGCTATATTTGTCACAAATTTTGTAGTGGCTAGCTTTCTTTAGCAATTTCAGCATATGGGTTTGAGTCCTTGGGTTAAGCCTCCTCTCTTTTAAGAGGGAACTGTTAACTATCTCAACAAACACCACAACATCCCCCCCCCCCCGCCCTCACACAGCACACACACACACGCACGCACACATTGCACACCGTACCTTTTTTTTTAAACTGCGACCGGTCCTGATCAGTGTTGCCACTTTGGATCTTTTGTATCCAAATTTAGATCTTTTTCATTGCGTTTAGATCCTGTTTTTGACGTTTAGATACTAAATATTTTTCTAGATTCTTTTCATATGGAGTTAGATATTTTATAGATTTTTTTTCTTTTAGTGTCATTTTAATAATTATTGAGCAAAATATTTGCTAAAATATTTTAGTTTTGGTCTGGCACGTACATTGTGGCAACTGCCATTACTTAAACTTTGAACTCTCACTAAGGTCAACACTCAAATACCTGACAACCCCGGTGCTGATTAATCGAAATCGCGCGTAAATCATACTAACTTTGTTTCAACCGTATCCTCACTGTGTTGTGAAGTATAGCTGTGATGCTGACTCTGTGTTTCTTTTTCATGGGATTTTTAAAAAATAATTGCTCACCTTCCTGTGTGGCTTTCACTTTGAAAAAAAACTTTCAACATGCCAAAAGTAAAGTATGAGCAAAAATTTCGGAAAGAGTATTTGCATGATGACAAAATTTAAGACTGGGTGATGGCAGTTCCTGAGGATATAACCAAGGCTCGTTGTAAGTACTGCAAGTGTGAAATTAAAGCGAAAATACAAGACTTAAAGAAGCATGCAGAGACTAACAAGCATAAAACTGCAGTTCCATTCAAAGATATTACACCGCTGACGTCTGTTTTCAGAACTACACTGATAAATGAATCATCAAAAGTTGAAGGGTCGGTCGCAATGTTTTTAAGTTGCCATTGTGCAATTTCAAACTGTGACCATTTGATTGATTTGTTTAAAAACACTATTTTTGACAGTAAAGTTATGGATGATGTGAAAATGCATCACAGCAAGTGTACATATATTATAAGAAATACTTTATTTTCTCACTTCGAAAAAGATTTGATCAGTGATATTTCTACAAATAAATATAGTTTATTATTAGACGAATCAAATGATATTTGGGTACTGAAAGTGCTTGGTGTGTGTATTATATATTACAGCAACAATACAGACAAAGTAGTTTCTACATATCTTGGACTAGTTCAATTGGAAAAGTGTAATGCAGAAAGTATAGTTCAAGAACTGAAGAACCTTTTAATCGGCAAACAGTTAGACTTGACAAATTTGGTTGCAATTGGTACCGATAATGCCTCAGTGATGGTTGGCATAAACAATGGCGTTTATGCCAAGTTGAAGGAAGCTATCCCATCGTTAATACTTATAAAATGTTTGTGTCATTCATTGCAGCTAGCGTTATCACATGCTTCATCTGAATGTTTACCAAGGAATTTGGAATACCTTATTGCTGAAACACATAAGTGGTTTTCAAAATCATTTGTCAGACAACAGCAATACAATGCATTGTATTCAGCCTTAAATAATGGTTCCACACCACTGAAAATTCTGTCAGATTGCAAAACCAGGTGGTTATCAATACAACCAGCTGTTGAAAGAATTGTGAACCAATGGTTGGAGTTAAAGACACACTTTGAAATAACAAGACAAAGTGAAAAGTGCTACACAGCTGAGATACTATATGGAATGTACAGTGATGAAAAAAATTTGGCATTCCTTCTCTTTTTACAACCTATTCTAATGGAAGTGCAAAAAGTTATTAAACTGTTCGAATCCAAACATGTTGATAAAGTTAAATTACTTGACGATCTCACTTTGCTATTTTACTCAGTTGGTAAAAGACTGGTGTTGCCAACTTCAAAAGTTGATTTGCTCACTTGCACTATAGAGAGCTATTTGGCTCCTAAGCCATACCTTGGATATCAAATTGAATCAAAAATTGATGATTTAAAAACAAAAGGACTGTTAACAGAGAATGAAGAGAACAACTTAAGAAAACGCTGTCAAGATTTCCTTATCTCATTGTTCAAGCAACTAAAGCAGGGACTTCCTGAAAATCTAGATGTATTGAAACATATTTCACTCTTTTCTGTGAGCAACATACTTCAGCCAGTAAAGGACATACCTAAATATTGTAAAGTTATGAAATTGTTAGGGGCTACTGACAATAATGTCGCTGAAGCAGAATATCAGTTAACCAAAATAAACTTAGTTGAATGGACAAACAAAACAGAAACTGAAGCTTTTTGGAGTGAAGTGAGACAATTAAAAGATGCCTCATCAAACAGTCCATTTGTAAACTCTTTGAATGTGCCATGTCTGCCATGATACTACCCCACTCAAATGCTGACGTAGAAAGAGTTTTCAGTGCTATGAATTACATCAAATCTAACCTAAGAAACAGGATGAAATTAGACCTCTTAAATGCTATCTTGACAATAAAGTTTGGCCTGATGAGAGTAGGAAAATGCTGTTCCACTTATCAGCTCCCTGATTGTGTATTAAAAGAAATAGGAACAGCTAAAGCATACCAGAGTCATTTGGGATCTGAAGCTTCAACTTCATCATCCAAGCTAAGTTTATCCTGTGGATCTTGTGAAGCAGACATCAGTGAAGATGAGGACATGTGTCTATAGGGTAAGTCATCTCAATAGTTTTGTAATCTGTGACTCTTTTCATTTGGATATTTTTTTTAAATATTTTCCACGCAAATTTAGATCTTTTTAGATATTTTTTTACCCCGTTTTGGATCTTTTTTGTCAAAGAAAAGTGGCAACACTGGTCCTGATGTCGAAATTGTCGACACTAGCTGGTAACTGTCATTGTTAGGTTATGTTATTACGGGTGCCCGAACATGTGGGTGTTGGGGAAAGGGGGTGGGGTGTTAACCATTTATAGTACCCCCCTCCCCCACACACACAAGTTAGGGTAACATTATTATAAGTAAGTAAAGAACCCTTTATGCCTTTCCATATCTTTAGGAGTATTGGGCATATCCGGATAACCTTATATTTAATGGAGAAACGGGCATTCGGTCAGATATGGACAACGTTACGCCGGCAGCTTGATGTAAAGTTATTAGGGAAACGAAAGGTGGGAGAGAGGACGAATAAATATCTTTTGTTAAGTTTTTATTTATACATATAGTATTTCAAATACATCTGTGATATTCAGCGTATTATTAATTATTTAATTTTATTATTACCCCCATGAAAAAGGCTTAGGTCAATTGTGTCCCTCCTCCGCCTAGAAAATTCGTAAACGGGTGGAGTGGGTGTTAGGCCTCTTCTTCATATTTTCTTGGTGTATGTGTTTGTGTCCAGTCCTTATAAAGGAGAATAGGGGCTTTTGAGCTGATCTGCTATAGAAAGATTCTCATAATATCTTGGACGAAAAAGAGGAGAAATACTGACATCTTGAAAGAGTTGAACATCAAGGAAGATTGGCTAATAAACAGCATCCTGTCTCGGAAGCTAAAATAGTTTTGTCATATGCAAGCGCCACGACGGATTAGAAAAAAATTTATAGCAGCAGGCATGGTACCAGGAAGGAGGGGCAGGGGTCGACCGACACGAAGATGGGCACAGGATATAAGTGACTCCTTGAGTATGAAAGTACATGAGGCGGGAGAACTGGCGAGAGACCGAGTTTCTTTCAGGCAGACCGCGATGAGAGCGACGTTCTGCAAAGGACCTGCTACATGATGATGATATTTTTGTGTGTGTTTATATGTATGTTCGCGTGCGTGCCCTTGACAGAGCCTGCTATCCTTCTTGTGTCCGTTTTCAAATTGGCAGCCTACTAATGGTTTAGTTCACCACATTTCGTTTTTTCTTTTTTTTTTAAGAATAAGTAATTAAAGGACCCTTATCTGACTCACATGCTTATCCAATTCACCTCCTTGTGGGGTGCAATTTTTCGTTATTTGAAGCCCCACTCTAGTTCTTGCCAGGGGCCGCAATATAGCCCAGCCATAAATATGGTCTAATGGCTTAACGCTGTTTCTGGGACCTCTCCACGGTGATCCTCATCCGCATGGTGGCACTTTGTGTCATCGGGTGTTTTTCGCTTGTGTGATGACCTGGTGGGTTAAAATCGACTACTACTACTAATTATCAGGTCCAGTGGCGCACAGGTAATGGTAGACTGCAATTGTATAGTCACAGCAGTCAATAGCACAGGGCAAGGGAATTCATATGAGCGTGCACGATCAGGGAGGCCCAAAGTATATATGATCTAGAATAATGAAAACCTAACCTGAGATTATGTGAAAGCAGGCAACATTCTGAATCCTTCTTTCTTGCTGTTTGGAGCAAAAATTAGGGATTATTTGGGATAGCTGATATAAAAAGAGATGGGATTTACAGTTAGACATGCGTCATTAATGGTCAACTGAGACATAATGGACTTATAAGATTAAAGAGATGGGACATATTGTATCAGTTTAGATATAATGCGTCAACTAAGACATAATGCGTCAACTAAGACATAATGCGTCAACTAAGACATAATGCGTCAACTAAGACATAATGCGTCAACTAAGACATAATGCGTCAACTGAGACATAATGCGTCAACTAAGACATAATGCGTCAACTAAGACATAATGCGTCAAATGAGACATAATGCG